AGGAGGGGAGGGAGAAGGACAGGAGGGAAGAGGAGGGGAGGGAAGAGGAGGGGAGGGAGGAGAGGAGGATGGAAGAGGAGAAGAGGAGGGGAGGAGGGAGGAGTTAGGAAGGGAAGGGGAGAGGAGGAAGGAGACTGGAGGCGGTGGGGCAGGGAGGAGGAAGGAAGGAGGAGCTCTTTTTCACTCTGCACTGGCCAAGGCTGACGGCCCCTTCACCTCAGTGCTCTCATCTGTAGAATGGGGCTGTGCTAGATCCTGCACGCACACAGCCTGCACCAGACACTTGCATCTGTTTCCTGTCCCACAGAGGGCCTGAAACAAGAGGCATGATGGTGGAGGGGGGAAGGCAAGGGTTCAGGGCAGGCACCATTCTGGAGGGGAGGGTTGAGGAGCTGATGGGAGCTCTTTGCAAGGAGACAAAGCATGGCATGTCTTGGGGAGACTGGCAGCCCTGGCTGGGGCTTTGGGAAGAGGCCCCTCCTTGTCCAGCCCCCATGTCCCAGCCGTTTGGCCTGGCTCCCTCTGGCCACCCTTGGCAACCCCGTGTCCATCCTGTTTCCTAGGTGGGGAAACTGAGCCAAGGGCTTGTCCCAAGGCGCACAGTGGGAGCCTTTGGCAGGAATCCTCCAGCCCCCTTGATGTGTGGTGTGTGCAGCCAGAAACCCTAGCCAGAGCTGAGCCCAGAGCATCTGTTTAAATGCTGGCCTCCCCTGACCTGCTAGAAAGGCAAGGCTAGAAGGAGACTGAAGCCCCCGCTTTCTCTCCCCTTCTCCTTCCCTCCCTGCCGCCCTTCTCCCCCCTCCCGCCCTTCTCCCCTCCACTGAAGGAGATTCATCACACCCACGCCCTGCCAGCGCTATGCTGGGCCCAGGGGAGGCAGGAGTGACCAAGACACACACACATGTGTGTGCCACCATGGAGCTTACAGACACTAGGCAGAGACAGACCATAGGCAAATAATTCCATAGATGATTATTTTAAGGCAATTATAGCAAGCGCTGCAAAGGAGACAAGGGCTCTTCCTGAGCCTTTCTGAGCTTCTATCTGCTCTTCTGCAACATGGAGAATGAGTTGTCAGAGCTGCTGCTGCAAGAGCTACACAGCACATGCATACACACATGAGCACACGTTTGCGTATACTCATGCACACACATGTGCACACATGAGTACATGCACTCACACAAATGTACGCAATGGCACATGGGTACACATACTCAGACACACACACACACACACACACACACACACACAGAGTCCGGCCTCAAGAGGGCCTTCAGCTATACGGTGCCTCTCATTAGTAAGAAAACAGTTGCAGAAAGTTCTAGATCACCGGATACGGGAGCTGGCCTTCTCAAGATTTTTAGCCCTAAAGGGGCTATTCTCTGTGGCCTGGGTATGGGTTGGCCTCTCAGCTTTGTACCTGAGAGTGACTTCAGATGGGACACTGACTCCTCAATGCTGAAGAAGACCCAAAACCAAGTTTGTACCTTCCCCTAAACTCCCTTTATCAAGTTTCTAGACATCTTTATCACCCCAAAGAAAGCCCCTGACTCATGAAACAGTCACCTCCCTTCTTTCCCAACCTCTGGCAACCTCCCATCTGCTTAGGCAGGGATTTTTCATAAGGTCTCTTCTAAGTGTGGGGTTTTCTTATTTAAAAAATACTTTATTACAAATTAAATGTGGAACTATGCCGTGTGTGCTTATTTTGGGGAAGGGAAGGGAGGCTGTTTTTAAATACTTCCAGCCTCTTTGCTGCAGCCGGGTGGCTGGACGTCTTTGGGCAAACCCTTTCTTTGCTTCTTATTTTGCTTAGATGAGGATAACGGACTTGGAGGAAATCTTTGTTTTGTTTTGTTTTTGAGACAGGGTCTCATCCCATCACCCAGGCAGGAGTGCAGTGGTGCAATCATGACTCACTGCAGCTTCAACCTCCCAGCTTTGAGCCATCCTCCCACCTCAGCCTCCTGAGCAGCTGGCATTACAGGTGCACACCACCACACCTGGCTAATTTACAAATTTTTTTTGTAGAGATGTGATCTCCCTATGCCCAGGCTGGTCTCGAACTCCTGGACTCAAGTGATCCTCCTGCCTCGGCCTCACAAAGTGCTGGGATTACAGGAGGGAGCCGCCACACCTGGCTAAGGAAATCTTCTTGAAGGTCCTTTCCAACCCTGGAATTCTGAGCTCATCTGTTGCAAATGAGCTGGAGCAACACCCTCCAGAATCTTACAGGCTTAGCCTCCAGGAATATCTGTCCGGCCTGCTGATCTCTGGCCAGACCCAGGGGTAGCTGGACAGGGAGGGAAACCCTGTCCATAAGGCCTCTGCTCGCTGGGTGACCGCAGGCCATGCACTTGGCCTCTCGGAGCCTGCTCATGGTCCCTTACCCACCCATGGGTCCTAGAGCCAGGCAGGCTTTGTGGGCCTCTCACCTGTAAAACGGAAGAAGGCCTGGCTGTCCGCCTTGCTGCAGGAATAACTGCAGGCCACTCCCCAGGGGTGAGGCCTTGGTACCTGCAAGTTGAGGCGAAGAGACTGAATGTGACTCAAGTGGAAATCTCTGTCCTGACTCCCCGCCGCCGGATACTGGCCAGCAACTTCCTCTCCTATCAGCCGCCGGATACTGGTGGGTGACTTTCTCTCCTATCAGTTTTCATCAGGAGGAATACTGGCATTTACAAAGTCATGGTGACCATGCAGGTGGGGGACTCAGCATGTGGAAGCGGCCCCTGAAATGAAACCGCGTGCAGGGGTCAGTTCCCGGAGTATGTTCTGCTGTGGACTTTGAAGACAGTTCTTGTTTGCCCTCAGCAGAAACAGGAACATCAACCCATATGGGACCTGCCTGCCTGCGTCCCCTGCTGCCCCAAACACACCCCTTCCGCCCAGCTAGAAGCCCTACTGCTAAGATACCACAGGGTTGGAAGAGATTAGAATTCCTTTTCTTTTTCTTTTCTTTTTCTTTTTTTTTGAGACAGAGTCTCACGCTGTCACCCAGGCTGAAGTGCAGTGGTGTGATCTTGGCTCACTACAACCTTTGCCTCCCAGACTTAAGCAATTCTCCTGCCTAAGCCTCCCAAGTAGCTGGCACATGCCACCACACCTGGCTAATTTTTGTATTTTTAGTAGAGATGGGTTTTCGCCATGTTGGCCAGGCTGGTCTTGAACTCCTGACCTCAAGTGATCCACCCGCCTCGGCCTCCCAAAGTGCTGGGATTACAGGTGTGAGCCACCGTGCCTGGCCCTTCCAGTTCTTTTAAATGATTCATCCAATATTTTTTGACAGTGTCAAGTGTCAGGCTGGCTCCATGCAGGACGCGAGGGTCATGCCTGCAAATCGTGCACTTGTATCCTCACTTCCACAGAGCTTTGTCTGAAGAGGAGAC